TGCTTGTCATTGGGCTTTGTCACGCCGGGCCTCCAACTGTATTGTCTACACCGCCCGTTTGTCTGCACACTCTTTGTCTTTCTGGTACGTTCCCCACAAAGCCATTTCCCACGTCCTCCTCTCGCACCTGGCTGCCCTTCCCTGTTCCTGGCTCTGGACGTTTCCCAAATTTCCAACCGTGGGTCACCCGGCTTAAACAGAAATCCATACTGCCTTGCTCCCAAGCCATGGGGACCCAATTTGGCTCAGACCCGTCCTGCAGCCTTACGTAGCCGCTCCAGCCCCCGCTGAGCCACAGAAGCGTCAGGAAACCCCTACTCCCCCAAGCAATCCTTTTCAGTATTATCATTTTTTAAAGCTTTTTTTTTTAAGATTTTTATTTATTTATTTGAGAGAAAGACAGAGAGAGCACAGTGGGGAGGAGAGGGAGAAGCAGGCTTCCCACTGAGCAGGGAGCCCGATATGGGGCTCCATCCCAGGACCCTGGGATCATGACCTGAGCCGAAGGCAGACACTTAACTGACTGAGCCACCCAGGTGCCCCTCAGTATTATATTTTTATCACTATTATTACACAAATTTTTTATATAATAAAAAAAATAAAATAAATTTTATAAATTTTATTTTATAAAAAAAAAAGCTCCAGACTTCAAACTTCTTTGCCCTAAACTGAGCCAAGAAAAAATTGATTAAAAAAAAAACTTAGGAAACCAAGGGAAAATGCCCCACAAACTGGGAAATTAAACAGCTGATAGAGGCTTGAGAGAGGAGGCCAAGCCTCTAAGGGGCTGGCTCCCTTACCTCTCACTATCTGTTCCCTGACCCAGGCTTGGAGTGGGAGCCCCAGCCTATTTCAGACCAGCGTTAAGGCCAGGTCCGTAGGGGGTTCCTATCTGTTCCCTTTAAAATGTGTTACCTGAGGATCTCTCTAAGCCAGGGACTCCGGGCCAGCTCTTTGGGGGCCACAGGCCAACTCTGGAGCTCTGAGGTCCCTGGATCCCCTGATTGGTCCATAGTTTGTTCAACAAACACTTACCAACACCTCTACTGGCAATAAAGATCTGCATAACGGTGGTCCCTCCGGGTGTTGCCAGTCTAGCGTCGCAGAAGGAAACGAACGGTAACTGCACAGGACAACAAGCCCACGGTAGAGAGAGAGAAGCGCAGAGTGCTCCTGGAGCACAGCGGACAGGCCCCAGATCCAGACTCAGGAACCAGGGAGCTTCCCAGAGCCCTTGAGAGCACAACAGAACCCTGAAGGGTAAACAGGAGGTTGGTAGGCAGATAGTAGAGAGGGGAGTTCTCGGCACAGGAAACCGCATGTGCTCAGCGTGGGGAAAACAGGATGCTTACAAGACACTAAAACGCCCGGGACTCCCCCCGACTCCCTGGCTCCGGGCGATCCCGTGTGGACACCTCCTTCACCCTAATGGACCTCTGCCTCCAAATTCTGGAATTACCACCCTTTTCCCCCGGTCACTTCCTGTTCCTATCCAGGCTGCCAGATGCCTATGTGCAGACCGTCTGTCAGGGCTGCTCCACCCTAGGATGAGACTCTGCTTCTTCAGCTGAAGTTGTGCCCAATTCTCGAGGCCTGTGCCCAGTTCTGGATGGGCAGAGCCACTGTGTCCAGCCGGGTCCCCCCACACTAGCTGGCTGGGATCTCCCCCACTGGAGTCCCACCCTTCTCCCAGCTGCCCCCACCTCGCTAGCGTCTTCTGATCCAATCAGATGTCCCTTCCCACCTGTCCTGCATCCTCAGGAAACGGCCTCCCTACGTTCTTATTCCTTATTTTATACAAGAAAAATGCTTTATATACTCTGGGGGTAGCTGTAAAAGGCCTATCATTCCCTCTCATACTTCTGCCTGCCCCAGCTTGGTCAATCCCACCTTTCCCCTGAGAATATTTAATAAAATGCTTTGCTTTTTATGAGTAAATATGCTAACTATAAAATATTTAGAGAGAAGATAAAACTAGATAAAAATAATTCTTTCCTAAGCATTTACAGAGCCCCTACTCTCTGCCAGGGAAGTATTGACCTGAGAAGTAGGCATTACTACCATTTCAGTCTTCAATCTGGAGACCCTCAGGCCTGAAGAAATTGAATAACTTGCCTGAGGCTCAGGGCTGCTAAGTGACTGAGCTGGGATTTGGGCCTACAGCTCCCCAGTCTAGCGCTTTGCTTGCTACACCTCTGTTCTCTCTCCACTGTCTGCCCCATCCATATGTCCTGCTTGCCCTCTGGATACTGTTGCGGGGCCTATACCTGGACCCCAAACCAATCATTCCAATTTGCATGATGATTTCCATGCAGACGCCTCCCCACATTCCCTAGTTTCCCCCTCTGCAGCGTTTGAAGGGCAGGCTTAACCTGGACTAACTCAAGAAAACCAAGGTAGGGTTGGTGGCAGGAGAGAGAACTCACCTGTGCCTGACTCAACATTTTTGTCTTTGCCCCCCACCGACCCTCTGCACCACACTCCACCCCTCACCTGCCCACCCCAGCTCTCTTCCACTCAGCCTTTGCTCAGCTTCGACCTCCTTCTGCCTTCCGGGACTGCACCAGGGCAGGGTCTAGCTATGTGGCCTCCAGGGCCAGAAACGTCTGCAGACTTGGCCTCCAACCTTTATCATCTGGGGGAGGACACAATGATTACAGAATGGCTGGGGTGGGTAGAGTCTCTCTCACCCTCTGGTCTTCCCATCCCAGGCCAATCCCGGGGCAGGGGCAGGGCCTGGGAAAGGAGAGAACGGATCCTACTGCCTCCGAGTCATCAAGGCCCTGGTACAGCGCTACATAGAGACAGCCCAGCGGGAGTTTGAGGAGACCAGGCAGAAAGGTTAGTGGCTCACCCCCAAGCCTTCCCCGTTGCATTGTGGGAATAAATACCACACACCAGGCTTCCACCCTGCAGAGTGGCCTTCCTACTCAATGACTCTGAGCCATTCAGATATTTATTCCACTCATTTCATTCAATCCTTCGTTCCTGTGTTCGTTGACTCATCCACTCTCTTCCCCATTGGCTCACTCACTTAACTCATTTTTCGTTCATTCACTCAGTCTCTAATTCACTCGTTCAATCAACATTCATCACCACGTCCCCTTTGTTCCAGCCTCATCTTAGAGGGAGGCGGGGTGTGTAGAGCAAAGACACGGGGCTGGGGGGCAGGAAGCTTTCTGTCTGGTGAGACGGAGAAACCATCTTTGTAGGCAGATAGGGCTTAGTTGGGAGAGAACCAAACTGCAATGGGAGCCCAAGGGAGAGAGAGAAGCTACTATTTTGAGAGGCTGGCAGAAAGGTAGAAGGATAGAGGACCAGAAATTGGAGAAAGCAGAGGTGTAATTCAAACTTGGCCCTGAGGACGGGTAGATGGGAACAGGGCTGACACGGGCAGAGACCGGATCTCTACCCACCAAAAACTTGCCCATCCCTGTGACTCCGGATCCCTTCTCTGGCCCACAAAACTCTCCTTCTTTGTATCTTCTAAACGCATGACCATCTCAGTCCCACTCAGATTCATCCACCCCCGCCTCTGCCTGCTCCTGACTCCCAGCCCACGAACCAGTCTCTCGCTTCCTCCAGTTCTACTCCCTCAGGACCCGTAGGCAGGATGCCCCCTGGGGTTCTGTTGTGAGGGGAGAAGTGGTTCAGGGCAGGCTCATCTTCTGAGAGACCTCCCCATCAACAACTTCCCCCAAACCCTAGAACTGGGCAACAGACTGACGGAGCTGACCAAGACTGTGTCTCGCCTGCAAAGCAAGGTGGCTGGTGTGCGGAGGACTCTGGCAGAGGGAGGGACACCCCGAACACCCGAAGGTGCCAGCATCCTCAGTCGCTACATCACCCGAGTGCATAACAGCTTCCAGAATCTGGGCCCCCCCATCCCTGAAACCCCAGAGCTGACAGTGCCAGGGATTGTGGGGACCCAGGTACCTTCAGAAACTGGGCTTCAGGATGCTCGAGGGGCTAAGACTCCAGCTTCTGGAGAGTCTGGCCCGTCCTCCCCAGCTCACGTGTTAGTGCACAGGGAGCAAGAATCAGAGACAGCTGGGGACCTGCCCCAGGAGAAAGATTTGGGGATCAAGGGGGGGTCTTGATACAGTGGGAGGGTCCTGTCTTCTGTTGCTAGGTAGAGCCGCCTAGATGGGTGAGGGTAAGTGTCATTTAGAAGACTCTGATGCTTTACTTGCCTCAATAAAGTTTCTGTTCTGGATGTCAGATGCCTCCAGAGTGTGTAAGAACCTCTGTCTCTTCAGGTTTTGAGATTTCCCTTCCCTCACCCTTGAAATGGACTCCTGTGGGAGCAGGACAGAGAGAAATGTCTTGCTGTGGGGTCCCAGGTGTCTGGGGCTTAGGCTCCTACTTTGAGTTCTTTCAGATCTTTCATGGAAAGAGTTCTGGACTGGGAGGAAGGGAGCCTGGTTTCAATACTAACTCTTTGACCTTGAGCAAGTTGCTTCCTTCCTTGGCTTTGCATTCCTCATCTGACAAATGGGCCAGTGAATCCATCTGTCCCCCTTCCTTCCTTCTTTCCTTCCTTCCTTTCTTCCTTCAGGGAGGTTGTGAGGAATCTCTGGCTGTTAAACCTTCTGGGTTTGCAAGTTCTGGTTTGTGACAGGGATCTGCACAGGGGACCATGTCTAGGAGTGATCAAGAAGTCATCCTTTTAGGCCGTCAGGCTCTGAGTCTCACAAGGGCCAGAGCAGGGCAGATGGTCTCGTCTCATGGAATAAACCAGTCAGGACATGTGATGTCACCACACTGCAATACTGTTTAATTGAGTGGCCATCATAGTACCACCCTTGCTTGTCCCAGGGAATCCCTACCACATAGCAGGGCTCCCTCCATCCTGCCAGGGCCTCAGATCCCCCCACATCCTGGTTGGGAGGGGAGATGGCTGGGTAGGTCCCCATCCCTGGGAAAATGGCTGCTAGGGCTGGGTCCGAAACCACGTTCCCGCTTCGAGGCCGTTCGAAGCCCCCTTATTCAATGGAAGATCATGAGTTCCTAGGACTCCTCGTGGCAGACAATGGGCTTTCAGGGGCCAAGAGCAGGGTCTTCCAGGAAAGCAGAGAGAAGTCCCCCTTGGAGGTGGAATCTGGCTCCCCTCCTGCTGGAGAGAAGAGAAGGTAAGGGGTCAGCAGGGCTGGGGGGCACTGAAGCAGCTGAGGGAGGGTGCAGCGGGCTACTCACCTTGTGCAGACACACAGCTGCGTCTCTTCTCCCCTGCAACAGACGGCACGGTGAGCCTTCCGCGTGGGTAGGTCCTCACACCCAAGCTTCCCTTCCCACCAGGCCCTGGCGTGGGCCATTCCCCTTCTCCATCCAACTTTCCCTTCTCCTAAACACTGACTTCTGACTTTCTTTCCTCTTCCTGCCCCTGGGAAATCTCCCCAGACTGCTGATCCATCACCGCTCCCGGGCCGGCCCCTGCTGCTCCTCCATCTGTCCCTGCCTCAGCACTTAGGAACACCATATACACGTCCTATCAACCCCATTAAGCCCAGGGCCTCCTGAGATCCGAAGCAACACCCCTGTCACTTTCCTCTGCTTATCAACCTCACCCAGGTTCTTGTGGTCAATTAGACTGTACAGTGGATAGAACATTTTGAGAACATTCACAGAATCACTTGAGAATGCTCATAGATCCAGAAAACACTAAGACCTTCTAGGAGCTGGCTGAACCTGTCACAGAGAACAGCAACTCCAGCGGACTTCTAGCCCTCAACTCCCCCATGAACCAAGTGGGTGTCCCGAAGGGGCGTGCTGGCTTATTTCCCCCACCCTGCCGGTTCCTGCTTCCCTCATGCATGGCTCACCACCCAGATAGGCGCAGTTAAAGTGGCTGCAGGTCTGATTATAGCTCCAGAGAGTCACCAGGCTCTGGGCTCCATCCTGGGAGAACCTGGTGACCAAGAAGACTTCATGTGGGGGGATCAGCACCTCACGCTCCTCAGGAAAGACAGACAAGGCCTGGATAGGGGCCCCGAAGCAAGTCCTTAGAGAGAAGAAGGTGGCATTCCCAAATCTGCGGGCCACTGCCTCATCCAGGGAGCTGGAAGCAAACTGGCCCAAGCGGACAGAGTCACCCAGTCTCTTGGGTTCAAAGTGGAGGGTGCCCATGCCTCGGTACACCAACTCCCCGGGTCCCTTGCTGCAGCCCCCACTGCCCTGCAGCAGCTGCAGGGCCCGGATGAGGTAGAAATGCAGGGCCTTGAAGGGGAAGTGCTTCATGTAGAACTCCCGGGAGCTGCCACCGGTCCGCACCGCCTGGTTCAGCTCCCAGTACAAAGTGTTAGATGAGTTGGTATAGACAATGACGGCGATTCCATGCTGTGCTTTGAAGCCAGGGGGCAAGGGGAGCCCTGGGCGCTTGTGCTCCCAGGCCCACCGGGCTGCCTCCCAGGACTCCCGCAGCAGGGCGTGGCGGGCCATCTCCTTCTTCAGCAGAGGGACCACCTTCTCTTCCATCTCCTCGGCACAGCCCACATAAGCATCGTCGAAGGTGTCTGGAGCCAGGCCCAGGGGCAGGATGGGAACAGCCTGGGCCTACGAATGTAGGAAAGAGAGGAGCCGCATAGGAAAGGGGAGATGTTCAGAGCACTGGACAGGGGCCCTGGTGGCAGATCAGTCCAGAAACATCAGTATCTCGTTTCTAGGACCAAATATCTAGTGTATGCGACTTGGCGAGAGCTCAAGGGCTTAAATAGCACAGCACTGGAGTGAGACAGACGTGGGTTCAAATCGTGACTTCCCCCGCCTACTAGCTGTGGGATCTTGGGCTAGTCTCTAAACTTTTCTGAGTTTCAGGTTCTCCACGTATAAACTGAGGATACTTCCAACCTCACAGGGATATTGTGAGGACAGCATATAGATCTTCATTTCTGTACAGCGTGAAGGGGTCATTTTGTCATTAGAGAAGTTCTGCACCTGGTAGGAAGTGGGGCTAGATGACTTCCAAGCACTGTTCTGGCTCTAAGACTCAGGATACAGGTGATATACAAATATACAGCCAATGTCCGATGACCTGACCTGGCCCGCATCCTTAGATTCTCTTCCCCCTTCATGCCAGCACACCAAGACACTGTAATCTCTGAGACCCCTGAGTCCTCTCCTGCTTTAGAAGCCTGTATTCCAAAACATGCGGTGGGGGGTGGGGTGGGGGGTGGAAGAGGTCAAGCCCTGGTCTGGGAAGGGCTGCAGGAGGGCAGCGCGCAGGTAACCCAAGCCAGTTTGCCTGGGCTGAGCCTGTGGTGGCAGACAGGACGTGGGGAGGAATGATATGAAGGAAGGAAGATCCTAAGAGGACCAGGGTGTGGAGGTGGAGGTTCTGGGAGAGATAGTAGGAACCTGGGGCTCCCTCTCGGGATGGAGGTTCCTGAGAAGAAGAGGATTAGGAGGACTGGGATCCTAGAGAAGAGTACGTGCGGAAGATTTTTGAGGAGTCAGCCTCCCAGTCCACCTCCTTCGGGTCTGCCCCTGACCTGTTCCTTTTGTGGTAGGAGTAGGTTCTCCCAGTTACCTGCCAGAGGGCATGGAGGCCGAGGTAGCTGAGAGCCATCAGCAAAGCCGCCAGCATCCTTCCTGGGGGCGACTCAAGGGAGGGCGAGGTCCAGATGAATAGGGCAGCACTGGCGATGGGATGGGAGACAAAGACCAGGGTCCGTCCCTCTGGGGTGTGAAGGGTCTCTCCGTCCAGGATCCGGCCCAGGCGGGTGTGGGCGGGGCCAAAGGCGGGCCTAAGGGAGTGGGCGGGGCTTTAGATTTCATTGTGTACCCCGCACAACCCCAGGGCTCCGCTCCCCAGATTCCCACTAGACCCCATGCTCCGCGTCTTCTGCTCGGGGGCCTTCTTGCGATGGTAAAGGTGGAGCCATAATTTGGCTCCGCCTGGAGAGGGGAGGGGGCGGAGAGCCAGGGACCCACCTGGAAGTTTCAGGGACCACGGCGGGAAGGAACACTGACCGCTCGGGCCCCCGGGGGGCTTAAGTCCCGGCGGGTGCTGCGCTGTTCCGGGAGTCTAGCCGATCAACAAAGTGCCGCGGCTAACTATAGCCCCCGCGGCGGTAACCCGACACCTCTCTTCTGCAACAACAGACACGGGGTGGGGAAGCGGGAGTGGCGCGGGAAGGGGCCGAGGGGCGTACCTCCCCTTCCCTAGGACTGCGAGTTCTTTCTCCAGAATTCACTTTGGCTCCGAACGAGACCAGGGTTGGGGGGAGGGACTTGTGAGACTTGGCCTCTCCCTCAGGTGGGCCCCGACCTGGCGGACCCCCAGCTCTCAGACCACTAGACCCGGGAGGCCCACGAGGGTCCCGCCCACCAAGAACTCTCTGCTGGTGCACTCGCTGATTTGCATGCAGTTTGCATACGGCCCACGCATTGGGGCACGCGTGATCCAGCATCTGAGCGCACCCACCCGCCCCCTTCCCTTCAGTAGGGTTGGACCAGCTCTCTGTCTCCCATCCTCAGGGGCAAGCCCCTCTCCCTCCACAGCCCCTCTCTCGCTGGACCTCTTAGACCCAGGTGACCCCATGTTTATAAACACTAGCTTTTCCCCTCCCCTGCTGTGGGCCTGTCTATAAATAACCTGGCTCTGAGTTTTGGATGCCCAATCAGAAGTAATGGGAGAAGGGACCAGCTGAGAAATCAGTAAGCAGCTCGGGACAGCTTTCTGGCAGCCTGAGCCCTGGGGGTGGGAGGGTTACTCCTAAAGTGGTCAGGGGAGTTGGGGGTCCCGAATGTCAGGATTTAAGAGATGCTTTCTGCTTGCTGGGGCTGAGGTGGGCATAGAAGGTTAGACTTACCTCAGGGCCTCCATCCTGGTTTGGCTCATTCATTTAGCCCCATCCCCACTGCCCCATTCCCTCAGGCTGCCAGCCAAAATAAAGAATTTCCTTCTTCTAGAATCCTGCTTTCTCCAAAAATCCTTCCTATAGAGCAAAAAAGACAAACTGTGTGTCTGGGCTTGGAGAAATGTGGGGAGGGAGATGGGAAAAGTGTCATCCCAAAAAACCAGAGCACTTGTCAGGCAAACACAGCCTCTATACAAGTACTCTAGTCCCCTTCCAATGAGATGGACCAACCCAAAGCTCACCTATATTAGAAAATCCATTTCTCGGGGCGCCTGGGTGGCTCAGTCGTTAAGCGGCTGCCTTCGGCTCAGCTCATGATCCCAGGATCCTGGGATCGAGCCCCGCATCGGGCTCCCTCCTCTGCGGGAAGCCTGCTTCTCCCTCTCCCACTCCCCCTGCTGTGTTCCCTCTCTCCCTGTGTCTCTGTCAAATAAATGGATAAAATCTTAAAAAAAAAAAAAATCCATTTCTCTACTGTTTACCATTACTGTGAAAAACCACCTCTTGCCTGTTTATCCTGACCACCTCTCACCCTGGAGGACCCTGAGCACCTGCAGTTGTTAGAACAGAAGACAGGGTCTGGGAGAGCCAGGCCTGCTGAAACAAGTCCCCGGTACCAGATCCACTGGGATCAGGGCTTTGACCTCTCCTCACATGGAAGTGCTTCTCCCATCCCCAAATGTGGAACTCCAAGAAAGGCCCCAAGAGATGGAGTCAAATTTTGTCACTGAGCCGGGGGCCCTGAGTGAGGCAGAAAGTCCTCCAAGATCACAGAGCAAATCAGGGCTGGCCAGACCCAGGCTCCTGAATCTGGGAAAATTTCTCCTTGCACGTTAGGTGAGTCTCCATGCTCACATAAAAGGAACACAAAGTAAAAAGATACTGAGGACAGGGGTGCTGTGCACAGGGCCAAACCCAGTGCAGAGACAGTTGTTCTAGCCTGGATCCTCGATGCCTCAGCCCACCTTCTCTCTGGCCTTAGAGGTTCCCCTCTTTATGGGAGGTGCACTGGCCCAGGGCAGACTGGGCAGAGGCTAGTGTTCCCAAGCCTTCAGGAGACATCCGGAAATAGATGGGGGAGTGTCACATTTCTGAGCAGCTGTGTTGGTACAAGGGGTGGGGGACTGACAGTATAAAGGAGAAACCTGCCTTCCCCCTCCCCTGGTGGCCATCACTGGAGACCGACACCAGCTTCCCTAGAGAAGGCCTAGGTAAGGGGCACACCACCCTCCTCCTGGGTATAGGGCAGGGAAAGACTTTTTTTAAAGGGGAAATTTGGGGTATTGATGGTGGAGTTCTAGGAGTCGTTAGGAACAGTCTCAGGGCAACTTTTGTCTTAGTCTGCTCAGGCTGCTATGAAATACCACAGACTGGGTAACTTATAAACAACAGACATTTATTTTTCATAGTTCTGGAGGCTGAAAGTCTGAGATCGGGGTGCCAGCATGGTCAGGTGAAGGCCTTCTTTCTGGCTTATAGCCGACACCTTCTCACTATGTCCTCACATGGTGGAAGGGGCTAGGGAGCTCTGCGGGGTCTCTTTTATGAGAACAGTAATCCCAGAGCCCTCATGAACTAATTATGTCCTAAAGGCCCCACTTTCTAAAGCCATCACAGCAGACATTAGGATTTCAACATACGAACTTTGGAGGGACATCAACATTCAGACCATAGCACCTTTGATGGAGACGTTTAGGATACCTGGAGGGTCTGGGGACATTGGGAAATCGGGGGGTTCCTGGGGAAGAGATTTGGAGTCACATCCCCAGAAGGGAATGTTCAGTGAGGGTCTGGATGAGGAGAAACTGACAAGTGCCCTGAGCAGGATGAGAGGAAAAACAGAAGAGCAGGTAAGATATAAGGGGTTGCCCAGTGCCTCCATTTCCTCGCTTCCCATAACCACGCCATTGCTCTGGCCCCACCCCATTCCCCCCAACACTGCTCACCAAAGTCCTCAATTTACCTGCTCTTGCAGTGGTCTACACTGTTAGCTGCACCCAGAAAGCCTCTCAGACTCAGCAGACATTCCAGGAGTCCTCATCTGTGCCTGGCTTGGGCTGAGCTCTGGGGACACAGCATGGATCATGCCTGGTCCCTGCCCTCAAGGAACTCACAGGCCAGCAGGGGAGACAGACACATAAAGGCAGCACAGTATGATTAGGACAGTGCCCGAGGAAAGCACAGGGTGACTGGAGATCACAGAGAAGTCGGAGGGCTCCCTGGAGAAGGTGACCCCTGAGCTAAGTTTGAAAAGTGGATAGCAGGATGGCAATGTGTGCAGGGCCACAGGGAGGGAAGAATGGAGCCTCACCCGCAGCTTTGTTCTGTTCTATAGAAGCCAAGCATGGTGGTGGGGCGGGGGCGGGGGATGGCACGGCACAAGGCTGAAGAGGTTGTGGAGGGCTAGGTCACAGAGCACCTCAAATGCCAGCATGAGGAGGGCTCTGTCCTGAAGGTGTGGAGGGAAATTGTATTTTGCCGGGTTTTTTTCCTTTTAGATGTGTTCTCATCTCTTCCCTCATGATTTTCATCTCTGCATTTTTACTCTGTATGTTATTTCTTCCAGTCAGGTTTGGCACAGAGGGTTCTTAAGCAGGTCAGCAACCTGACCAGTTGTGCTTTAGAAACACTGGTCTCCCTGCTCTGTGGAGGGTGGATCAGCAGGGGTGACAGTGGAGATCAATGCGGAGGCAGGGGCAGATTGAGCCATGGAAGGGATGGGGAAAGGGAAGGAGCTTCTAGGATGGACCCATATTGTGATTAACATTTAGTTGGCAACTAATTTAGTGTTTGATGAATGATCAAATGTGTTTGATGAAGTGACCACCTTGGGTGACTTGGTGAATAATGGGGATGGATATTACATGAGACTCGTCTGATGGCAAGTTAACAGGAATCACCACAAGCTAGATGAAGCCTAAAGGGGAATTATCACAAAGATACTGGGGTACTTCATGGGACCCAAGTGAAGAGCTTCTAGAAACCCAAGGTGTCTTGGTCCACCAGTGCTCTGGTTTCAAGCAGCCCCCTTTGCTGCTCAGCCCTCTTTTTCCTCTCTCCCTGGGGATCTCATGTTTTTTCTTTTCTTTTTTTTTTTTTTAAGATTTTATTTATTTATTTGAGAGAGAGAATGAGAGAGAGAGAGAGCATGAGAGGGGGTTGGGTCAGAGGGAGAAGCAGACTCCCTGCTGAGCAGGGAGCCCGATGCGGGACTCGATCCTGGGACTCCAGGATCACGACCTGAGCCGAAGGCAATCGCTTAACCAACTGAGCCACCCAGGCGCCCTCTCATGTTTTTTCTGACTTCAACACACATATCACTCAAATGTCTCATCTTATTGTCCACTCTTTTATCTCTCTGACATCTGCCCCTTGAGAGTCCACACGTGCCAAACTGAACTCACTGTTTCCCCTCCAAAGATGATGGTTCATTCATTTTTTATTGAGCACCCACCATGTGCTGGGATGGGCAAGATGAGCTTTTAAAGTCCACTCTGCTCCTCCTCTGTGTCGGCAACCTAAAGCATGGAAACCTGCATGTCATCCTTGGTTTTTCCCTCTGATGCATCTCCTATATCCCATCAGACACCAAGTCTACTAAATTATACTTAGTAATTCTGGGTCCATCCTCACTGCCAGTATCTTAGGCCACATGATTCGATGTCCTCAGTCTGATTTCTGAAGCCTCCAAGCTCTCTCTCACTGCCTTGTCTTTGCAGGGCAGAGATGGGGAAAGAATCAAGGGCCACAGAGAGGCAGCCAGAGACAGAGTTGGCCTAGTGAGTTTTTGCTGTATAACCATTTTGCTACATGCCACAATCTCAGTGGCATGCAAAGATTTATTCTCACGCTCATGGGTCTTCAGGTTGGCTACCGATTGACTAAAGTGGGTTTGATCGGGGTCCTCTGCTTCAGGCTGCCAGTCTGTCCGAGCTGACCTCCTTTTTGCTGGCTGGGCTCAGGTCTGCTCCTTATGTGGGTCATTCTGGGGTTCAGGCTAAAGGGACAGTTCTGGGCCACATTCTGACGGTATGTGATCCAAAAAGACCCTCTCTCGGTTTAGATTCCCCCCAAAAGCAGATCCAGAGACAAGAACTTGGGTGTAGTGAGCTTATTTGTAAGTTGATCCCAGAAAATACAAGTGAAAGAGTGGCATAGTGGGATGGAGAAGAGAGGAACCCCCCCCCAAAAGTGTGTTAATGAGCACACTGTGACCACTGTGGTCAACTGGGGCTTAGTCCCCTGGCACCCTCAGTAGCAAAGAGAATCTGACTACCACCCCTCCTTGGTTAAAGGTTGTCCCTGGGAACATTAAATCCCCTGCACTTTGGGGCTGCCCTGAGCAAGCTTACAGGGTGATGGAGAAAGCCTTGGACACAAAAATAATATGGAGCACTAGAGGTAGGAAGCTCAGCATGAGCTGAGGTGTCAGCATGTACCAGAACTCTCCACTGCACCTGTGTGTGGATGTGTGTGTGTGGGGGGGCGCTGAACCATCAACATTTACCTCCAAGAACCAGAGGGGATTATGGAGGAGGGATGCTTAACCTGAGACGGGGGGCAGAGACATAAGCACCTGAAATTCATGTAACACTGTGTGAGGGTGCGTGTATCCATTTTCAGCTTTCATCAGATTCCCAAAGATAAAGAACCACTGACTGTCTTGCCATTTTAAAAGGAGAAAAACAGAAATACCTGTGAATCTGCTTATATGTGCATAGACTATCTTTAGAAAGACACACAGAAGATGGGAATGTTGGTTGCCTCTGGAGAGATGGGGTGAGGAATTAGTGAGAGAAAGGTGTTTCACTGTGTGCCTTTTGGACTGTTTAAATTTTGAACAATGAAAATGTATTACCTTTAGAAAATTAAAACTTTAAAACAGTAAAAATTAAACTTAAGATTGATCTTATTAGTGAGCAGAGATATGAATTAAAAAGGAGATACCAGGGGTGCCTGGGTGGCTCAGTTGGTTAAGCGTCTGCCTTCAGCTCAGGTCATGATCCCAGAGTCCTGGGATCGAGCCCTGCATCGGGCTCCCTGCTCAGCGGGGAGCCTGCTTCTCCCTCACCCTCTGCCTGCCACTCTGCCTACTTGTGATCCCTCTCTCTGTCAAATAAATAAATAAAATCTTAAAAAAAAAAAGTAGATACCATCTGTGGCCACCAGTTAAGTGAAAGTTCAAAAGAGATCATGGTAACCAGCACTAGCAAAGATGTAGAGGAAAGGGCACTCTTCCTTGTTGTGGACAGGCAGACCAGTGCCTCTGGCAATTTGGCAGTGCCAAATAAACAATTCATATCCTTTAAACATCAAATAACTTCTTGATATATTTCCTATAAAAATATGCACACAAGGGCGCCTGGGTGGCTCAGATGGTTAAGCGTCTGCCTTCGGCTCAGGTCGTGATCCCGGGGTCCTGGGATCGAGTCCCGCATCAGGCTCGCTGCTCCTTGGGAGCCTGCTTCTCCCTCTGCCTCTCTCTCTCTCTGTCTCTCATGAATAAATAAATAAAAAGTTTAAAAAAAAAATATGCACACAAGTAGACAAAGATTTCTACACAGAGATGTTCACTGAAGTACTATGTGTAATGTCAAAAATGTCAAAAAATTAGGGAAAAAAATCTATGTCCATCAATAAGAAAATGGTTGAACAAATTATGGTTTAACTACATTATGAAATTCCATGCTGCCATTATAATGAATAAGGTAGATATGTATGTATGATGTAGAAGGAAGTCCTTGATATATTGGGTTTTTTTAAAGATTTTATTTATTTATTTGACAGAGAGAGACACAGCGAGAGCAGGAACACAAGCAGAGGGAGTCGGAGAGGGAGAAGCAGACTCCCCGCTGAGCAGGGAGCCCGATGTGGGACTCGATCCCAGGACCCCGGGACCACGACCTGAGCCGAAGGCAGACGCGTAATGACTGAGCCACCCAGGCACCCCTGATATATTGTTTCCTGGAGAAAAGCTTACAGGATATGTATGTGAAAGCATACATACTTTTTCTTTTTGGGAAAAAAAAAAAAGACAAACCACCGTGTGATCACGGTAACAGCAGGCATGGATACCAGTGAGAGATGACATGGACAGAGAAAGAAAACCGGGGCTTGGACTCTGTGATTCATTCATACTTTTTTCTTTTCACTACAAGCAGGCATTACTTTGTAAAGAAAGAAACAAAGAAGCAGCAGCACTGATTTAGAAACTGCTGGGACTCTGCCTTCTTGGAGCCTCACTCCCCACGCCATCCTCTCCCCATCTCCCAGACCCTCTCCCTCACCCCTTGGGGGTCTACACCTGTCCTTGCCCTGGAAGCAGTGGAGGGCTTAGGGGAGGACGGCTCGGTTCGCAGCAGGACTGCAGCGGGGGGGTGGGGTGGGGTGGTGGTGGCTGGTTCCTGTCCCTGGAGTACTGCCATGGCCCCACCAGCTGGCCAGTCCTGGACCTGTTCCAGCGTCACATCCCCCATGGGGTGAAGCCCAGATCTCTTACTGTGGCCGTCAAGACCTTTCATGATAGGCCCCAGTCTTTCCAACATTCCCTCACTGCAAGCTCTGCCATGCTGGACAAAATGTCTTTCACTTTTGACATCCAATACCTTTGCTCTTCTCATTTCTGCTGCCCTGGACGCCTTCCCCACCCCAAGTCCCTCTCCTATCCCAGTCTCCACTGATTGAAGCCTTCTTCTCCTATTCTTCCTGTAAGACCCTGTTCAGATAACACCTCCTCCAGGAAGTCTCCCATGTTCCTTCCAGCAAGAAGGGTCCTCTCTCTCTTCTGAGCCTTCATTTCTTTTTTTTTTTTTTAAGATTATTTATTTCATAGAGAGAGAGAGCACGAGCAGGGGGGTGAGGAGCAGAGGGAGAAGCAGGCTCCCTGCTAATCAGGGAGCCTGATGCAGGGCTCGATCCCAGGACCCTGGGATCATGACCTGAGCCGAAGGCAGACGCTTGACTAACCGAGCCACCCAGGTGCCCTGAGCCTTCATTTCTATGCTGTGACTCTGTGCCGAGCACTGGGAGTGACACAAACTAGGTGTCTGTTAATGTTTATCAAACTGTACAGATTAACATTCCCATTTTCTAGATGAAGAAACTGAGACGCAAAGAGAGACAGTAACTTGTCCAGGGCCACCGCGAACATGCAGACACCTGCCATGCTGTCTCTGCTGCTTGTGTGCACGGGCCTCATGGAAGCACTGCAGCAGGTACGGTGCTCCCCCACCGGGCCCAGGCCAGCAGGGAGCTGCAATGTTGGCTTGCTCTGAACTCCGGGAGGAGGGGCCGCGGGAGGAGAGAACGACTGATATTTCCAGTGGGGCTCGCCTGGCCTGGGGAACAGCCCCAGACCCCGGTCTCTGAGAGCGCAGCTACTTTGGCGCCTTCAGCGCCCTTCTCCATAGGCTCCCATTCTCCTGAGGCTCACCCTCTCAGTCCTCACTGCTCCGCCTCCGCCAGGTCCAGAGCCACCCCGTCACTCGACGAGACCTCTTCTCTCAAGAACTGCCCCTGGACATGGCCCCAGCCTCCTTCGATGACCAGTACGCCGGCTGTGCAGCCGCCATGACAGCCGCTCTCTCAGACCTCAACGAAACCGAGTTCCAGGCCAACAAGGTGTACGCTGATGGCTGGGCGCTGGCAAGCAGCCAGTGGCAGGACCGCCAGGCCTGGGGGCCAGAGTGGGGCCCCAGGCCTACCCGGCCGCCCCCTGGCTTCCGCGATGAGCACGGCGTGGCCCTCCTGGCCTACACCGCCAACAGCCCCCTGCACAAGCAGTTCAACGCCGCCGTGCGCGAGGCGGGCCGCTCCAGAGCCCACTACCTCCACCACTTCTCCTTCAAGACACTCCATTTCCTGCTGACCGAGGCCCTACAGCTGCTGGGCAGGGGCCAGCGTCCTCCCCAGTGCCGCCAGGTGTTCCGAGGGGTGCACGGCCTGCGCTTCCGGCCGGCGGGGCCCGGGGCCACCGTCAGGCTGGGGGGATTCGCCTCCGCGTCCCTGCAGAATGTTGCAGCCCAGCAGTTTGGGGAAGACACCTTCTTTGGCATCTGGACTTGCCTTGGGGCACCTATCAAGGGCTACTCCTTCTTCCCTGGGGAGGAGGAGGTGCTGATCCCCCCCTTCGAGACCTTCCAGGTGATCAATGCCAGCAGACCTGCCCAGGGCCCCGCCCGCATCTACCTCCGGGCCCTGGGCAAGCATAGCACGTACAACTGCGAGTACATTAAAGGTAGGTAGGGCGCACACCGGGTAACACCTGTGCTCATGACGGGCTCCCCCTCGGTCTCAGGGAACACATACATCAATGTCACAATCAAATGAACAGTGAAGGGGACCCAGTCCTGTCCCTCTGCCCCTCCACCCTGTACATCTAAGGGTAGACAAACTTCTGAGGGAGTATGCCACCTGTCCTTGGAGGTACCTAAGCCGGACCTGGCCACCTGCCTGCTGGGAGGCTGAAGAGGGTTTCCTGACCGAGGCAGGTGGCCATCTGAGGGCCAAACGGAACTGGTCAGGCTTTTCTTCCAGCTGGAAGCTGGAAGGCAATTAATTTCTGGCCACAGCACTGACACCCAGACCATTGCTGCCAGGTATGAGTAAGAGGCCCAAACTCAGTTTCCAGAAGGGGCACATGTATTCAGCTGAATGGAAACCCTGTGCTGTCGTGTGGACTGGGTGGGGGTGCAGGTGGGGTGCTGAGACAGCAGTTGGGTGCCATGCCCCATAGTCCTAGCTCAGACTGTCTATCCCTCAGGACCAGCCAGAGATGGAATCATGAGGACAGGCCCAGGTTCTTTATCTCTAAAGGGGCTTCGGGTCCTGGCTGAGTGAGGCCCACTTTGCATAATTAGAGGCAGGTTGTTGGCTGGAGCTGTGGACCACATCTAAAATGGGAGAAGGTCCAGTGGGGCTTCCATTCCCACCTTGGTCAGCATCGTGGGTGTGCATGAGTTGACAGAAGGTGAGGAAGACATGCAAAGTACATGAACCAGTACCCTCCTTGGCTGGGACAAGGTGTGGGAGAGGTGGTTACACTGGGAGGCAAAGTTACAGGCCAAGGGAGCAGGAGGAGCACCCAGAAGAGACCCTGGCTTTGAAGGCTGGCTCCCTTCTAGCTGTGCTGCTCATGGGTCAAGTCAAACGCGGGCAAGGGAGGTCCCACCGGAAGGAAGCTGAGTTAGGGGAAAATGTACTAGCTTCTCTGAGAACAAGCTGGGGATAGACCACAGGGTTCTGGGGTTCCTTCCTGTCCTGAGAGCTACTGAACCTTTGATTCTTTATTCTTTCTTCCCTACAGACAAGCAGTGCAAGTCTAGGCCTTGCCGTCTGGGTAACTCAGGTAAGAGCTGCAAGCTTCTGTGGGGCTCAGCTCAAGGATAAGCAGGCTGCCCTGGGGTTGGACTCCTCTCCTGGATGCACATCCGTCTTGAAAGGAAAACAATCCCCTTTTCATCAAAACAAGTAAACCCTCTTAAGCAGACCCCTGTGGGGGTGGTGAACCTCTCTTAGAGGACATATATGTGTGTATGGGGCAGTGGTCATGCAAGCTGACACACCTGCCCCCCAGTCTGGTGCTGCCCCCGCCCTCACAGGAGGCTACTGATCGGGCCCCAGAGAGATCCGGGCTGCACTGAGGGGATGGAGGCAAGGGCCACTCCCACCGTCCTCCCTGGGCCTTCTCCTTCAGCTTCAGGACCCACTGTCTCTATTACTGCCCCCAGGGCTCCCTTAGACCAACTTCCAAGGTCGAGGTCAGGCCCTGGGTGCTGGAGACCTGGGTTCTCATCCAGGCTCTGCCCTAACTCTCTCTGTGACCAATCAATCCCTCTCTGGGCCTCAGTTTTCCTATCTGTATAATAAGCATATAGACTAGGGGGTGCCTGGGTGGCTCAGATGGTTAAGCGTCTGCCTTCGGCTCAGGTCATGATCCCAGGGTCCTGGGATCGAGTCCCGCATCGGGCTCCCTGCTCCTTGGGAGCCTGCTTCTCCCTCTGCTTCTCTCTCTCTCTCCCTCTCTCTCTCCTCCTCTGTCTCTCATGAATAAATAAAATCTTTAAAAAAAAAAATAAGCATATAGACTAGATGATCCCCAGGTCCCTTTCAGCTGTGATTCTTTTCTTCCCTTGAATACCTGCTGCACCCGGGCCTGCCTGGGCCTCACTTCCCCAGGTGGGAAGGGGCTTTTCCAGGGGAACCGACTGGAATAGGCCGGGAAACTACAGCCACTACTCCCCCTTGGGCCCCGCCTCCCTCCTCCAGGGCTCTGTGAACAGTGGGCAGGAAGGAGCTCCAGCCTCTACTTTGTTCCCACCATTCTCCATGACATAGTACCACTCAGAGTTCCAGGCATCCTCACCACGACCCAGTGGTGTTGGCACTGTCATTGTCCCTGTTCTACAGAGGAGGGAACTAAGATCCAGAGAGGTGAAGCAACCAGCCCTACACACACAGCTAGTAAGGGGTGGGGTCCAGACAGCCAAACTCTGAACCACCACACTACCTGGCCCCCCCGCTCCCCAGACACCATCTCATTTTATACTTACTGTATAATAAAATATTGGAAGGGGGAAGAACAGGGATTATTACCCTCATTATATAGTAAAGGGAGACCCAGAGACAGAAGTGACCTGCCCAAGGGGACAGAATGACTCAGTGGCAGAGCCAGGGTCAGAATCCAGATCTCCAGTCTCCAACCAGCTTGAGTGCCGATAATGTCATCTCAAGCACTGGACAAGGTTAGAAATCCCCCCACCCCGGTCCACCAATAATCAGGGGTTGGGCAGAGGGGCAAAGATGAGCGTCACTAGAACCCACTCACATGGGACTTCCCCTTGTTCATCCCACACTGCAATGGCTCATTTGTGTCAGTAGGAGGCAGGGGCATAGACCCTCCTAGGGACCTCTGCAAGGGAACCAAGGGCTCTTTCATCTGCCTGCCGTTCTCCCTGAATTCTTGCTCTCCATCTCTGGCTCCCACTGCACCTTGTGGGTCAGTGTTTCCAGCCCACTGTGCTCATTTTCTTCAACGTGTTTGTGTACCTCATTTCGTCCCGAAACCTCTCTCTCTGCCTCTGTTTTTCCTACAGCCATCGGTCAAGGCCCCCCTTCTGCAGTCTGGTCCCTCCTACTGCTGCTCTGGTTCCTTGTCGGGGGAACTTTTCCATAGAGTCCAGGCCTGCCATGATCCATCCAACACTGAACAGCCCCGCCTGCCCAACGTGCTGCCTCGACCTGACATGGGGATATCGGTCTCGCGTGTGCTCTAAGAGCAGCCAGGATCCATGGTGACTCCCTCTGCAGGAAACTCTGGGACTTTCTCTGGCAGCTGCCAGGTTTGCTGATGGAGAATTAAGGGAATCTGGGGACTGAGCCTTCCCCAAGGCTTTAAGAGTGAGTCACTGAATGGGGGTGGGAGTCTCTACAGCAGGCAACCACTCATTTGGAGATTGAAGATTAAACTAGTTTGGGGAAAGATTGGGGAGGAAAGCACTTGGCCATGGTATTTGCTGATGTTACTCAAATGGCTCACATATGCACCTGGAAAGCTCCTATTCACTCTTCCAGGAAGCCTTCTCTGACCCCTCCCAGCTGGCTGGGTTAGGGGCCCTGTCTCTTTGCTCCCTCAGGTCCCTGGCTGCTTCCCTCTACCACGTGTCAATGTTTGTCTTCCATGTCAGACTGTGAGCTTCCTGAGGGCAGGGACTGGGTCTAAAGCACAGACGTAGTGCCAGACAATGTGGGAAAGTCAGAAAGGAACAAACACCTTGTGAATGGCTCGTGTCTGCACTGCCCCACCTTGGCCACTTTCAAGCTCTCTGAATGTCAGTGTGAGGGAATGATGTGGACTGACTCCAGCTCCAGAGAGTAGAGAGCAGGACAGACAGCAGAGACAGCGTTAGGTCCTCTGCCAGGGTCTCAACTGAATGCTCAGTTGAATTCTTGTCAGCAAAGACAATTTCTGCCCTGATCTATGCGTCCTAAGGCTCCTGTCTCTACAGAGACAAACCTGGATCCCCAACTTTCACTACCATAGGCCCCAAGGGTGAAACAGGACATTAAAGAGGTGCTAGGCACACACTTTCTTTATTATGACTTGGGGCTTTGGGGCCAAATCCTCGTGTGGCCTCCTGTTCTGGAAACGAGAGAATGAATCCCGAATCCCCTTCCATGAGTCCCTAGGCAGGGACAAGCACAATCAAGTCCCTAACACAACAGCCACCAAGGAAGGAAGAGAAGACAAGGAAACATGGTCGTTCTGTTTCTCATGTAACCTGCACTCTCGCCACCAAAATCTCTAACATGCAGCATCAAATTCAATTCTGTCCTTCCAGGACTGCGTTTCGACCTTGGCCCTTCTTAGAATTCCTCTTCTGTAGGAATTAGGAGAGTGGCAAGCTCTGGATTTCCCTTAAAGTTTAGGGCATATAGACAAGTGATCCCTGTGGTTTGTGAAGTCAGCAGTGCTGATCCTGGAGAGAGGGTGGCCCCGGCTCTCAGGCACAGTGGGGAGAGACTGAGTGGCCTATCCGAGAGCCAACAACCACCTGGCCTTTCCATCCCGGTCTGGAGGGGCTGTGGCTGCACCAGACCCCTGGGACTCACAGGGCCTGCACCAACACCAGGAGGCTCATGACCAGGGCCATGGAGAAGAAGATGCCCAGGAAGAAGCGATCCATGACACGGGCCAGCCGCTTCCAGTCCTCATGGCAGCACTGGGCAGCCCGGTGGCTGTGGAAGGTGTTCGCGATGGTAGCTACGTGGCGCAGTAGGGCTTCCTGACGGCACAGACACCATGGCTCGCGGCAAGGAACTGCTGGAGGGCAATCACCTCCGTCAGGAGGCTGGGGACTGGGGGGTGACTTGAGTGGTCTAGACTGCCCACAGGGCTCCCCTCGTTCCTGCACGCACAAGCCCCTTGCCAGGCGTCCCAGCAGGAGGGCCCGAGCCCAGGCTGGCACTGGTCGGGCACTGGGACCACAGTAGTGCAGGTTCATGATAAGGATGGTGAGCGCCGTGGAGAATGTGACCATGGTCATGGTGGCCATGTAGTATTTCCCTGCAAGAGAGAGAGTGAGCTAGGGCCCAAAACAAGAACTCAGGGAGCCTGAGCTTGCCCACCGCCTCAACACAAATAGGCACCAGCTCACCCACCGTGAGGCTCTCAGGACCCTCCAATCCCAATGGATGGCGCCAGGAAGGAGGTAAGGGCCAAGATCTCCTCATCCCCTATTCTTACAAGTGAGTTCTCAGAAGCTACCTGCTGCCTAATTGTTCTCCTCACTGCTGGACGCTGCACTCCCCCACAGTCCGTGAAAAGTCACACTCTCAAATGGTACACGCACAATCTGGGGCAAGTTACTGATCCTTTTGGCACAACTGGGATAACAGAACCTACCTCAGAGATTTGTGGTGGTGCCTCAAAAATGTCAAGTGCTTAGGAGAGGGCCTGGCACACAGCCAGAACTCAAGGCGTTTTGCCTGTTATGACAGGTGAGGGGTGGGGTGTCCTTCTTGGAAGGGGCCTACTCCTCTCCCCTCAACCTCTGAATGAGGCATGCTCCCAGGACGCGCCCCCCTCCCGCACGGAATTGGGGCTGCTCTGCTGGGCAGTCCAGGTGCCGCTCCCCCGCCGAGCCCCGGTGGAGGGTGGAGACCGGCGAGCAGCGGCCGGGGTGGGGGGACAGTCTCCGGGAGGGGACGGCTCTCTCCCCAGCCCCTCCCTCTCCCCCACCCCGCCACCGCACCGCACCGCGCCCTCGCGGCTCACCGATGAGCGGCACGCTCTCCGCCGGCGGCATGCTCTCGGCCAGGAGCAGCTGAAAGACGGTGAGCGCCAGCAGCACGGTGACGCCGAGCGACACCTTCTCGCCCGAGTCGGCGGGCAGGTGGAAGGCGAGCGGCGCGAGCAGCGAGATGAGCACGCAGGGCAGGAGCAGGTTGCACACGTAGGCGGCGGCGCGGCGGCGCAGCAGCAGTGTGAAGGTCACGTCGGGGTAGGGCTCGGAGCAGCAGCCGTAGGTGAGCACGCGCCGCCGCGCCGGCATGCCCAGCACGCGCCACTCCACGTTCTCCACGAAGTCGGCCAGGCTGGCGGCGGCGCCGCGCGGTCGCACGTCCAGCTGGTGCCCGCCGTGCGTCCACGAGCCGAACGTCAGGCCGCAGCGCTGCGCGTCGAACGGGAAGGCCGACACGTCCACGCGGCACGAGCTGCGCGTGATGGCCGGCGCGTCCCACCGCACGGCGCCGTCGTGCCGCAGAACCACGTTGGTGCTGGCGGAGGCTGTCGGCTGTGCGTCCGCCCTGCGGGGCAGGCGGGGCGGGGCTCCCTGAGGCGGAGGCGGAGGCCGGGCGGACCCCTGCAGGGACACTCTGACCACCAGGGGTCCTGTGGCTACCAGGGGCCGCGCAGAGAAGGGGGTGGCAGAGAGGGACCTTTGTGCCTTCAGAGGCTTAGAAGGGGTGGCGCCTGCTGGGCCCAAAGGAGACACAGATCTAGGCCAGGGCAGTGTGAAAACACAACTGTAAAGCTGGCATCGGGGTGCTTAGTGTGATCTGCGAATCTCCTAGAGGGCCCCCGGGGAAAATATGCAGAGCCGTATGTTGTCTGGGAAACACAGAACTGGTTTAGGTGGCATAAAGGAACGCTCCAGAGGGTTAGGCCCTGGAGGAAGTTACCCTAGGCAGGCCCTCGGGGAGTCCTCAGAGACTTGGAGCCCGCCTGCAGGGGAGGAGTTTGTCATCAAGAGGCACTTGTCCCCCAGATCCCTCTCTGTAAGAGATACGGAACTGGCCCTGGACCACACAGTGGGTTCCCAGGAGGCAGTCAGCCTGGGTTGGCTTGGGACAGGTTGAAGAGGGGGTGTCATGGAGGGGCTGTGAGCTCCTGGCAGCTTAGGAGCGTCTGGGGGAAAAGCTTTAGGGCAGCGGGGTAACCAGGTTAGATTGGGGGTTTGGGGAATCAGTGCATACCTAGAGCCCAGGGCAACCGTAGGGAGGGGCTCGGAGAGGGGAGGGGCCAAGGCAGGCCGTACTTGTTGTAGAGTACGATGTCCGGCCGCCACACGAGGCTGCTGGGGATGCGGATAGCATCCAGGCCACCGTAGGCGTCGGGGTCCCATCGTAGGTAGGCATCTGTCCACTCCTGTCGGATCCACAGGTACAGGGTCAGCACCTGGTTCCGCTCATCCTGGTGGGGGGCAGGGAGTGGGCACAGATGAGGACACAGGTATATGCACACCCTTCCCTGTGTGTACACACTCACCTACAGAGCTTGGGAGGGCACCCACAAACCCAGCTGGCTCACAGTCCAGTTCCTACCCGGGCCTGACCTTGCTATGTGACCTTGGCAGTTTCTTTTCTTCTTTAGGCCTCAGTTTCCTTAGTAGTTACATGGGTGATAATCCCTGCTAGGCAGGAACGCAAGTATGCAAAGTGGTGGGCACACTGTGGGCACCCAGCAGTTAGTATCTGCTGTTATTGTTGTTAATGTTAACATTTATAGAAATGTTTGGAGAATAATCCTAGTCTCTCATTACCCCCCACCCCCACCCCGTTCCTTGACACTACCGCCACAACACACCATGTCGATGATCTGGGACAATGTCACCTCCAGGGTCACGTTCAGAGCCTGGTCTGTGTCTGCCACAGGTCTCAGGGCATTTGTATAGTTGGTGAAGAGGTCACGGAAGAGCTTGCGAGCCAGCCTGCCCTCGGCTCCCAAGCACTCTGGGGGACCAGGAAGAAAGGTTGTCCATCTGAGACCCTTGTCCAGGGGCCTCTGCTCACACCCTCCACCCGTGCGAGGCTGGGGCCCTGTCACCTGCTCTGCTACCTCACAGCCACCTGACTGGTCCTCCTGAGGTCTGCTCTGTCCATCTAGCTGCGGCTCTCATTCCTCCCTGGACTGCCTCCCTGGAAGAGTGATGTGGAGGCCGAGGAGGGAAGTGCTGCTGCCTTCTGGAGCAAGGCTGACAGGTTTCTTCCCCACCCTTTCCCTTCCTAAGGACCTGGGTTCTGCCTACCCTACTGCAAATGTCAGAGGGGCCCAGACAGGCGACAAGAGTCCCGCCTCTCACCCAGGTGTTGTGAACCCCACTGCCACCAGCCCCTGCCGTCTCTCAAACCTATTTCCACTTATCCAGCTGCACATCTATGGATTTCTTCAAAGCTTCTGATGCTCTGGGCCATTCCGTCCTGAAAAATCTCTCTTCCCTAGGCTTCTGTGACACACCACATTGTCTTCAGCCCCTGACTCAAGTTTGTTCCCCAGAATCCTGTCGTTGGCTTTTTTTTTTTTAGCCCAGATTTTTCTCCTGAGCTCCAGACCCATAAATACAACAGTTCACTCCTGAATGTCCTATTGGCACCTTAAACTCTGTAGGTCCAGATATGAACTCATCCTCCTCCCCCCGGAAACCTGTTCTTTGTTCTGTGTTCCCCCTCTCAGCAAAGCACCCATCCCCCCCCATGACCTCAGCCAGAAATCTGGGAATTATCCTTCCTTTCTGCCCCCTCCGCCTGCAACCCAACCAGTACCCAGGTCCTCTCAGCCATGCTGCTGGGCATCCTTTGAATGTCTAGTCGCCCCTGCAGCTTGATTGGACCCAGCAGCAGCCTCCTCCTGGCTCCTGCTGCTCGTGCAGCCTCTATAAACATTCCCCCACATTTCTGAGATCAGGCCTTTAAACACTCAAGTCTGACCAGGCCGCTTAAAACTCTTCAGTGGCTCCCCATGGCCTGCTGGATAAAGTCCAAACTCAGCCCGGCATTCAACGCCCTTCATGATCTGCCCCCCGCCCCGGCTTTTCCATCACTGCTCCCGCTCCAGGCAGGCAAGTCCCCTGTCGTCCTGCTCAGCACCTCTGTCCTCCATGCTACCCAGGCAGAGTGCTTGTGCCCAGAACAGTAGTAAAGAGAGATCGGATGTGGAGAGAGATCTGGGGAGAAAGGGCAGAGCCGCAGGGCCCAGAGAGGCAGGGCTGGTTTACTGCACGTCACACCTGGAAGCGGTAAGAGCAGAAACAGAAGGCCCAGGCTGGAGAGGGAGAGACCGAGGCCGAGGCGGTGGTTCCTGGGCCCCACGGTCCTGCCACAGCAAGAGGTAGGGCAGGTCTCTGGGTGTGAGCCTCGGGGCCCGACTGAGGGCAGCATCAGGCCTTGCTGGCAAGGATGGTGTGGACGATACCTGGAAGTAGAAGGAAGACTAAAATCCCTGTGGCCTTTTCAGTTCTCTGACCCTCCTATTTGTACCTGCCCTTGGATTTTAGTACTTGATCTTGGCATCTGCTCATTCTCCTCCGCTGGTCCTTGCCTCTTCCGGCCTCTGTCCCTGCCCTTGTCTCTGTCCCCCAGCTCCCTTTCCTCTCACTCAGCCCCTCTGTCTCCATTTCCTTGTGTTGTTTCCTCTGGAACTCTTTCTTGCCCTTTGCCGCTTTGACTTCGGTCTTCCTCCTTCCACTCCCTTCCTTTCTCCTTCTATTTCAGCCCCCGAACTTCCTTTCTCTGTCCCCCATACCTGGACTCAGGATGAGCCTGGCACCTTCTCAGCAGGACAGGGGCAGGGACTCTCCATCAGCCCCGACCCTCTGAGGCCCAGGGCTGCAGGCCCCTCCCGTTTGCCCTTTTCATTAGCTTATTTACAGGGTTGGGACACCTGTGCCCATGGGAACAGAGCAACCGAAGCTGACACCTCAGGTTACTGGGACCTGAATTATTCAAATTGTAATGCAGCACCCAGGCTCAGCTCAAGGCCAGCGTGGGGCATTGGAGGGCAGAGATGCTGGGGTCAGGATCTGCAAAAGACTGGGCTTAAGGGTGTGAGGGGCCAGAGCCGTGGATGGTGTTTCCTCCTAGCTCTGCCACCATGGCTGGATTCTTTTTATATTTTTAAGATTTCATTTATTTATTTGTCAGAGAGAGCACAAGCAGAGGGAGAGGCAGACTGAGGGAGAAGCAGGCTCCCCGCTGAGCAGGGAGCCCGATGCGGGACTCGATCCCAGGATCCTGGGATCATGATTGGAGCCGAAGGCAGACGCCTAACGACTGAGCCACCCAGGCGTCCCCAATTGCTGAATTCTTGAGGCTCCCTTTGTTTTTTTAATTTATTCAAATTCCTTTAATTAACATCTAGCGTATCATTAGTTTCAGAGGTAAAGTTCAGTGATTCATCAGTTGCATATAACACCCAGTGCTCATTACATCACGTGCCCTCCTTAATGCCCATCACCCAGTTACCCCATCCCCCCACCTGCTTTGAGGCTCCCTTTAGATTGTCACCTCTCCCTTCAGTGAGAGATGGAGCACATCTGTCCAGGCTAGGTAGGCACTTTGTGCCAAGCAAACCTCTCCCATCCTGGTGGGAATGGGGCCAAGCCTTAGCTGAGCTTGTGGCTCCAGGTAGCCCCACAAAGCGGGAGATGCAGCTCACATCCTCATCTCCAACTCCCTACAGCCATCCCGATCTGAGTCTCAGCGTTCTCCCCATGCCCAAACACCACAGGTGACATTGGGTAGCAGGGAAAACACAGGCTTTACAGTCACTTTCAGCTCTGTCTTATGAGCTGTTTGACCTGGGCAAGATACTAAAACTCTCTGGGTTTGTTTTCTCATACAGGATAATGGAATTAACAGTCCTCACTTCAGAAGTTATAAGGATTAAACAAGACAAGCAATAACACAAGGCAAGTGCCTAGCATATTGCCTGATGCACAGTAGTCAACCATAGGTATTTATACTATAATCCCAGTGAATTAGTTCGAATATTCTATCTTCAGGAACACACACTTAGATTCACAGGCCCCCAGCCCCTGGCAACCACTATTCTACTTTCTATCTCCGTGATTTTGACTTAATAACTCATGTGAGTGGAATCACGTATTTGTCATTTTTTCTAAAAGATTTTATTTATTAGAGAGAGTGTAAGTGTGTGAGCAAGAGAGAGAGCACAAGCAGGGGGGAGGGGAAGAAGGAGAGGGAGAAGCAGACTCCCTGCCGAGCAGGGAGCCAGATGTTGGACTCGATCCCAGGACCCTGGGATCATGACCTGAGCTGAAGGCAGACGCTTAACTAACTGAGCTACCCAGTCACCTCTAAATCACGTATTTGTTTTTTTTTTTTGAGGTCAGCTGATTTCACTTTGCATAATATCTTCAAGATTCATCCATTTTGGGGTGCCTGGGTGGCCAGTCAGTTAAGCGTCTGCCTTCAGCTCAGGTCATGATCCCAGCGTCCTGGGATCGAGCCTCCCATCGGGCTCCCTGGTCAGCGGGGAGCCTGCTTCTCCCTCTCCCGCTCCCCCTGCTTGTGTTCCCTCTCTAGCTGTCTCTCTGTCAAATAAATAAAATCTTAAAAAAAAAAAGATTCATCCATTTTGTTACATGTCAGAACTTCCTTATTTTAAGGCTGTATATATTTTATTGGATGTATATACCACATTTTCCTTATCCATTCATTCCCTGAGGAATACTTAGGTTGCTTCCACATTTTAGCTAGTGTGAATAATGCTGCTCCGTATGGAAGTAGAAATATTTCTTCAAGACTTTGCTTCAGTTCTTTTGGATTATATACCCAGAAATGGAATGCAGCACCAGGTCATATGGTAATTCTATTTTTTATATTTTGAGGAATTGCCATACTACTTTTGACAGTGGCTATCATATTTTTTTTTCCCCACCAACAGGGTACACAGGTTCCCATTTCTCCACATCCTTACCAGGAGCTGTTATTTTATTTTGTTTGTTTTTATACTAGCCACCCTAACGGGTATAAGGTGGTATGTCACTGTATTTGATTTACATTTCCCTAATAACTAGTGGTTGAGCATCGTATCATGTGCTTATTGGCCATTTGTATGTCTTCTTTGGAGAAATGTCTATTCAAGTCCTTTGTCCATTTATTTAATTGGGTTTTGTTGTTGTGTTCTAGGAGTTCTCTCTGTATTCTGGATATTAATCCCTTATGAGGTATATAATTTGCAGATGTTTTCTTCCATTCTATGGGTTGCTTTTTACTCAGTTGATTTATTGTTTTGGTGAACAAAATTTTAAATATTTTATAAAGTCCAATTTGTCTATATATTATTTTTTTGCCTGCACTTTGAAGTCATATCCAATAAATCATTGCCATATCCAATGTTGTGAAGCTTTTGCCCTATATTTTCTTCTAAGGGTTTTATAGTTTTAGTTCTTACATTTAAGTCTTTGACCCATCCTTAATTTTTGTGAATGGTGTTTGTTTAGATAAAGGTCCAACTTCATTTCTTTGCATGTGGATATCCAGTTTTCCTAGCATCATTTGTTGAAAAGACTGTCCTTTCTCCCATTGAATGGTCTTGGCACCCTTATCAAAAATCATCTGACCGTATATGTAAGGGTTTATTCCTGGGCTCTCTGTTCTAGTCCATTAGTCTATGTGTCCGTTTTTATGCCCATACCACACTGTTTTGATTACTATAGCTTTGTAGTAAGCTTTAAAGTCAGGAAATGTGAGTCCTCCAGCTTTGTTCTTTCTCAAGACTGTTTTGGTAGGGTGTGACTATAAAAGGATAGGAAGAGGGAGTTTTTTGGGTGACAGAACATTTTATATTATGACTATGGAGTGGTTATACAAATCTGTATATGTTGAAATTAACAGAAATGCATACCAAAAGTGAATTTTCCTATATAATAACATAAAATACAGAATTAAAATCAATTTAGTTGGTTCATAACTAATGTAATGCAGGTTTACTGTACCTGCCAAAGAAGAAAGATAAGACTTAAGAGTGAGTGGTTGGTATTTGGTGTGAGGGTGAAAGATATATTCTTTTTTCCCGTACCATTTTCCTCAGCAATTATTCAGTCTTTTGGGGGCACAAGAAATTACACTTAAAAATAATGTTTTGCAGGGGCACTGGCTGGCTCAGTTGGTAGAGCATGCAACTCTTGATCTTGGGGTCATGAGCCCCATGTTTGGGGTAGAGTTTACTTAAAAAAAAGTTTTGCAGAATACCTCAAGGGCAAAATAAAGGCTAACTTCAAGAGTGCTTCAAAACAGCAAGGAAGTAGTGCACATATAGAAGAGACCCAAGAGTTAAACATGCTTTTTATCTGTTTAGCTTCAACTTGCAAAACAACACATTTGGGATTCATCTACATATGACACACAATTCAAATTCTTGGGGCGCCTGGGTGGCTGAGTTGGTTAAGCGTCTGCTCAGGTCATGATCCCAGGTTCTGGGATTGAGCTCTGTGTTGGCGTTGGGCTCCTTGCTCAGCAGGGAGTCTGCTTCTCCCTCTCCCCCTGCCCCTCCCCCTCACTTGTGTGCTCTCTCTCAAATGACCAGCCGAGAGGGTTCTTGGCTTCACACGGGATAAAAATCAAATTTGAGGGTGCCTGGGTGGCTCAGTTGGTTAAGCGACTGCCTTCGGCTCAGGTCATGATCCCGGAGTCCCGGGATCGAGTCCCGCATCGGGCTCCCTG